AGTGGGAAAACCTTGGGAAATTGCAGGAAAAACCCCGGGAAAAGAAGGAAAAATCCCTGGAAAAATGGGAAAAATCCCTGGAAAAGTGGGAAAAACCTTGGGAAAAGCGGGGAAAAAACCCCCAGGAAAAGCAGGAGAAACCCTGGGAAAAAACAGGAAAAACCTTGGGAAAAGCAGAAAAAAGCTCGGGAAAAGACCCTGGGAAAAGCGGGAAAAACCTCAGGAAAAGTGTGAAAAACCCCAGAAAAAATGGGAAAATCCTTGGGAAAAGTGGGAAAATCCTTGGGAAAACAGGAAAAACCTCGGGAAAAGTGGGGAAAAGCTCAGGAATAAGCGGGAAAAACCTCAGGAAACTTCAGAAGATTTGGGGAAAACCTTTGGAAAAGCCGGGCTGTTCCCTGGGAAACCTCAGGAAAAGCGGGATTTTCCCTGGGAAACCTCAGGAAAAATGGGAAAAGCTTTGGGAAGAGTGGGAATATCCCTTGGGAAATCTTGGGAAAAACGGGATATCGCTGGGGAAACTGTGGAAAAATTGGGATTTTCCCTGGGAAACCTCGTGAAAATCAGGAAAAACCTTGGGAAAAGTGGGATATTCCTTGGGAAATCTCAGGAAAATTGGGATATTCTCTGGGAAACCCTGGGAAAAGCCGGGAAATCTCTCGGGAATTGCGGGCCGGGCGATCCAGGATCTCAGGGAATTTGGGAATTCCGTGCCAGGGCCAGACCATGGATGACATTCCCAAGGAAGTTCTGAGCGACTGCGCCCACCTGGTGAAGGCCAACAGCATCCAAGGTATCCCAGAATCCCGGAAAAACACCGGGAAAACCCTCGGGAAAACCCTCGGGAAAACCCTCGGGAAGGGGTCAGGATCTGTCCTGAATCCCGGGAAATTTTTCCCACTTTTTTATCCCATTTTTCCCTCTTTTTTTCACATTTTTCCCTCTTTTTTTCCCATTTTTCCTCACAATTTTTCCCATTTTTCCCACTTTTTTCCCAATTCTCCTTTTTTCCTGTTTTTCCTGCTCTTTTCCCATTTCCCGCCTTTTATTTCCCTCTTTTTCCCGATTTTTTCCCCATTTTTCCCCTTTCTCCCATTTTTCCCGCCTTTCCCATTCTCCCTTTTTTTTTCCCATTTTTCCCTATTTTTTCCCCCACATTTTCCCACTTTTTTCCCATTTTTCCCTCTTTTTTTTCCATTTTTCCCTCTTTTTTCCACATTTTTCCCTCTTTTTCCCATTTTCCCCTCTTTTTTCCCATTTTTCCCTCTTTTTTCCACATTTTTCCCTCTTTTTTCCCATTCTCCCATTTTTTTTCCCATTTTTCCCACTCTTCCCCCTCACCTCTTTTCCCATTTTTCCCCCTATTTTTCCTTCATTTCTCCCACTGTTTTTCCCCGTTTTTCCCGCTGATTTTTCCGGTTGTTTTTCCCGCTCTTTCCTGGCTGTTTCCTCCTGTTTTCCTGGCTGTTCATTCCCGCTGTTCCCTTGTTATTCCCATTATTCCCATAATTCCCGTTGTTCCCCTTGCTGTTGTCGTTCCCGCTGTTGTTATTCCCATTCCTGTTGTTATTCCCATTATTCCCGCTGTTACTCCACAACAACCGTGCCGGTGTTATTCCCATTCCCGTTCCTGTATTCCCGCTGTTCCCGTTGTTCCCGTTGTCATTCCCACTGTTGTCATTCCCATTGTTATTCCCATTGTTATTCCCATTCCCACTGTTCTCATTCCCGCTGTTGTTATCCTGTTGTCATTCCCGATGCTGTTGTTATTCCTGCTGTTGTTGTTCCCGTTGTCATTCCCATTGTTGTTTCCGTTGTTCTTCCCATTCCCGCTGTTGTTATTCCCACGATTCCCCTTGTCATTCCCATCATTCACGCTGTTCCCATTGTTATTCCCGCTGTTGTTGTTCCTGTTGTCATTCCCATTGTCATTCCCATCGTCATTCCCATCGTCATTCCCATTGTTATTCCCATTCCCGCTGTTGTCATTCCCGCTGTTCCCATTCCCGTTATTCCTGTCCCCATTCCCGCTGTTCCCATTCCCACTGTTGTTATTCCCATGATTCCCCTTGTCATTCCCGTCATTCACGCTGTTCCCATTGTTATTCCCGCTGTTGTTGTTCCTGTTGTCATTCCCAACGTCATTCCCATCGTCATTCCCAACGTCATTCCCATTGTTATTCCCATTGTCATTCCCATTGTCATTCCCATTGTCATTCCCATTCCCGCTGTCCCCATTCCCGTTATTCCTGTTCCCATTCCCGCTGTTCCCATTCCCACTGTTCCCATTCCCGCTGTTCCCATTCCCACTGTTCCCATTCCCGCTGTTCCCATTCCCGCTGTTCCCATTCCCGCTGTTCCCATTCCCGCTGTCCCCATTCCCGCTGTCCCCGTTCCCGCTGTCGTTCCCGCTGTTCCCAGGCTGCAAGCTGAGCTCGGTGTCGGTTGTTTACACCCCCTGGAGCAACCTGCGGAAAACTCCGGACATGGACGTGGGGCAGATCGGATTCCACCGGCACAAGGACGTGAGTGACGGGAACAGCCGCGGGAATCTGGGAAACAACCGCGGGAATAACAACCGCGGGAATAACAACCGCGGGAATCTGGGAAACAACTGCGGGAACAGCGGGAACAACTGCGGGAATCTGGGAAAGAACCACAGGAATCTGGGAAACAACCGCGGGAATCTGGGAAACAGCCGCGGGAACAGTGGGAACAGCCGCAGGAATCTGGGAAACAACCGCGGGAATGACAACCGCAGGAATCTGGGGAACAACTGCAGGAATCTGGGAAAGAACAACGGGAATGACAACAGTGGGAACAACCGTGGGAATCTGGGAAACAACTGCGGGAATCTGGGAAACAACCGCGGGAATCTGGGAAACAACTGCGGGAACAGCGGGAACAACTGCGGGAATCTGGGAAACAACCACAGGAATCTGGGAAACAACCGCGGGAATCTGGGAAACAACCACAGGAATCTGGGAAACAGCTGTAGGAATGTGGGAAAGAACAGCGGGAATGACAACAGTGGGAACAACAGTGGGAATCTGGGAAACAACCACAGGAATCTGGGGAACAACCGCGGGAATCTGGGAAATAATCGCGGGAACAACCGCGGGAACAACCACGGGAATGACAGCAGCGGGAATCTGGGAACAACAGCGGGAATGACAACAGTGGGAACAGCAGTGGGAATCTGGGAAACAACCACGGGAATCTGGGAAACAACCGCGGGAATCTGGGAAAGAACAACGGGAATGACAACAGTGGGAACAACAGCGGGAACAGCGGGAACAACCACGGGAATCTGGGAAACAACAGCGGGAACAACCACGGGAATGACAGCAGCGGGAACCTGGGAACAACAGCGGGAATGACAACAGTGGGAACAACAGCGGGAATCTGGAAACAACGGGAATGGGAGCAGGAATAACAACGGGAATAACCCTGGGAATAACAATGGGAATGACCCCGGGAACCTCAGGAATGGTGATTGGGAATCCTGGAATCGGGATTTGTTTGGGATTGGGAACCCAGATTCCCAAGGGTTTTTTTGGGAATTCCCGTTTTGCCGGGAGCCGTCGCTGCCGGCGGATCGGAGCAGCCCCAAATCCCGCCCTCATTCCCGGGAACATCAGGAAAAATGGGAATAACGGGATTGGAAATAGCGGGAATAACGGGAACGAAGGGATCGGGAATAACGGGAATAGCGGGAATATCGAGGAAATGCCTGCTGGGAAGGACGTAATTCCCGTTTTTCCCGGTTTTCCCTGGAATTCCAGCAGCGCACAGCCGGTCACAGCACCCCCAATTCCCGGCCCCATTCCCGTTTTTTATCCATTTTCCCTGTTTTTCCCTGGAATTCCAGGTGCACAACACCTCTGACTCCCTCTCTGATTCCCGCTCTAATTCCTGGCATTCCTGCTGTTATTCCCATTTTTCCAGGTGTGCTGGCTGACGGTGGATCAGCACACCGAGATTCCCAGTCCCATTCCCGCTGTCATTCCCGGTGTTTTTCCCGGTGCGCTCGCTGCTGCTGGATCAGAACAGTCGCAGTTCCCGCTGTAATTCCCATTTTTCCCGACTGTCATTCCCGCTGTTTTAATTCCAGGTGCGCTCGGTGACGGTGGAGCGGCAGGCTGTGATTCCTGGTGTAATTCCCATTGTTTTTCCCATTGTTTTTCCCGGTGTTTTTCCAGGTGCGCTTGGTGACGGTGGATCAGCACACTGTGATTCCGGCTGTAATTCCCATTGTTTTTCCAGTTGTTCCCATTCCCAGGTGCACTCGCTGACGGTGGAGCAGCAGGCTGTGATTCCCGCTCTCATTCCCATTTTTCCAGGTGTTTTTCCCGGTGTTTTTCCAGGTGTGCTCGGTGATGGTGGATCAGCACACCGTGATTCCAGCTGTAATTCCCGTTGTTTTTCCTGTTGTTATTCCCATTGTAATTCCAGGTGCGCTCGGTGACAGTGGATCAGCACACTGTGATTCCGGCTGTAATTCCCGTTGTTTTTCCTGTTGTTATTCCCATTGTAATTCCAGGTGCGCTCGGTGACAGTGGATCAGCACACTGTGATTCCGGCTGTAATTCCTGGTGTTTTTCCCATTGTAATTCCAGGTGCGCTCGGTGACGGTGGAGTGGCAGGCCGTGATTCTGGCTGTAATTCCCGGTGTTGTTCCCATTGTTGTAATTCCAGGTGCGCTCGGTGACGGTGGATCAACACACCGCGACTCCAGCTGTAATTCCCGGTGTTGTTCCCATTGTTGTAATTCCAGGTGCACTCGGTGACGGTGGAGCGGTGGCCATGATTCCGGCTGTAATTCCCGGTGTTTTTCCGGGTGTTTTTCCCATTGTTGTAATTCCAGGTGCGCTCGATGACGGTGGATCAGCACACCGTGACTCCGGCTGTAATTCCCGTTGTTTTTCCCGGTGTTGTAATTCCAGGTGCGCTCGGTGACAGTGGATCAGCACACCATAATTCCAGCTGTAATTCCCGGTGTTGTTCCCAGTGTTGTAATTCCAGGTGCGCTCGGTGACGGTGGATCAGCACACCGTGATTCCGGCTGTAATTCCCGTTGTTTTTCCCGGTGTTGTAATT